TATATACCCTAGTGTTGATGACTTTTCCTAATGCTAACATTCATTTAGAATTCTGCAATCCATGCTATTCTTAATGCCTATTGTCAGACATTACTGTGCATAATAGTTTTGAGAATCTATGACCTAGAATCACAGGCAGTGTACTTAATTCCACATCAGTCTGGTAATGGATCGTTTGAGCTACTCAGCAATAAAGAGAAAAGAAATATATGAAACTTATAAAGAAGCTTTGTAAACATATTACATTAAATATTAAACTTAATGTGATCTAATTAAGCTTGTTTAAGAATTAGTGCTATGCTACAACCTAATTATTTATTTTATATGGTTGCAGTACCGAAACATTTTAGGTTCTGTTCAATGAACAGTGAAACTTGGTGAACTGAGTACTGACTTAAAATATTTAGTATAAAATAGCCATAGCCTTTTCATGACAAAAAGAGATTTTTTTTTTGGTTACAAAGACTTGGAATATACTTGGAATATAATTTAAGATCAAATATAGTTTTATCTCTAATAATACTTAGTTGAATATGAGGTGTTTCCATAAAAAACTATTTCATTTTCCACCCTGTTGTGGATAAAGAGTAGAAACAGGGTGCAATAGTATTAGGATGGGAAAGAAGAAAGGGGTCACTCGATGTGCTACAAGTACTTAAAATGTTCCCACATGGAGGGAAACATAAAGAATACTTGCAGGCAGGCTAGCATGGTCCGAGATAAGCTGAGCTAGATGACCTTAGGTAGTGTATGATGTCCCAATCTATAAAGTGGTATGGAAAGACCTGGTCATCATTTATAGAGATGACAAAAGATCAGTGAAGAGGACGTGCCAAGAATAGAGATTCTGAGCTTGAGACTTGTAACTAGAGTTAAGCGGATACCTGGATGTTCGGGTTCGGTGGGTTCGGCCAAACTTAAAAAAAAAGTCCGGGTTCGGTATGGAACTTGACCCCGAACTTGACCCCTGACATCATAGTTACATAGTTACATAGTTACATAGCTGAAAAGAGACTTGCGTCCATCAAGTTCAGCCTACCTTACATTTGTTTTTTGCTGTTGATCCAAAAGACGTCAAAAAAACCCAGTTTGAAGCACAATTTTGCAACAAGCTAGGAAAAAAATTCCTCCTTGACCCCAGAATGGCAGTCAGATTTATCCTTGGATCAAGCAGTTATTACCCTACATTGAAAGATTATATCCTTGAATATTCTGTTCTTGCAAGTATGCATCTAGTAGCCGTTTGAACATCTGTATGGACTCTGATAAAACCACTTCTTCAGGCAGAGAATTCCACATCCTGATTGTTCTTACAGTAAAAAAGCCTTTCTTTTGCCTTAGACAAAATCTTCTTTCTTCCAGTCTAAACGCATGGCCTCGTGTCCTATGTAAAGTCAGGTTTGTGAATAGATTTCCACACAATGGTTTGTATTGGCCCAGAATATATTTGTATAATGTTATCATATCCCCTCTCAGGCAACGTTTTTCTAAACTAAATAGGTTTAAATTTGTTAACCTTTCTTCATAGCTGATATGTTCTATTCTTTTTATTAATTTTGTAGCCCGCCTCTGCACTTTTTCTAGTGCCACAATATCCTTCTTTAGAACAGGTGCCCAAAATTGCACAGCATATTCAATATGGGGTCTTACCAGTGATTTATAAAGAGGCAAAATTATATTCTTGTCCCGAGAGTGAATGCCCTTTTTCATGCATGACAATACCTTACTGGCCTTGGCCACTGCTGATTGACATTGCACATTGTTGCATAGTTTGTTGTCTATTACAATTCCCAAGTCCTTTTCATGTGTTGTTATCCCTAATTCGCTTCCATTAAGGGTATACATTGCTTGTGTATTCTTTACGCCGAAGTGCATAATTTTGCATTTTTTAACATTACATTTCATCTGCCATTTGAGTGCCCAGTCCCCCAGTCTATCTAAATCCCTCTGCAGCAAAGTAATATCTTGCTCACATTGTATTGTTTTACAAAGTTTTGTGTCATCTGCAAACACTGAAACATGACTTTCAATGCGGTCTTCAAGATCATTTATAAACATGTTAAATAGAAGGGGTCCCAGAACAGACCCCCGAGGGACACCACTTGCCACCTCTGTCCAGCTTGAAAATTTACCATTAATGACAACTCTATGTACTCTGTTTTTAAGCCAATGTTCTACCCAAGAACAAGTATTTTCATCTAGACCGATTTCCTTGAGTTTGAACACTAATCTATTGTGTGGAACTGTATCAAATGCCTTGGCAAAATCCAAATAGATTACATCCACTGCAACACCCTGATCTATACTTCTACTTACCTCTTTGTAGAATGCAATCAAGTTAGTTTGACATGACCTGTGCTTCATAAAACCGTGCTGATTTTTGCTGATAACCATGTTCTTCTCAAGGAATTTTTGAATATTATCCCTTAATAACCTTTCAAATATTTTACCAGCCACAGAAGTTAAGCTCACAGGTCTATAATTTCCAGGCAAGGATTTTGAACCCTTTTTGAATATAGGAACCACATCTGCCTTCCTCCAATTCTCCGGAACACTTCCTGAAAGAAAAGAATCTTGAAAGATTAAAAACAGAGGTCCACTTATTTCTACACTTAGTTCCTTAAGTACACGTGGATGGATACCATCAGGCCCTGAAGCTTTGTTTATATTAACTTTCTTTAGTTGCTGCAGCACCTTGTCTTGAGTTAACCAATTACAATTATTCTGCAAGTTTTTAGTAGCAATCATTTGCACATCTATTGCCATGGGTTCTTCCTTAATATATACGGAGGAGAAATAGTTATTTAAAATTCCTGCCTTTTCCTGGTCTTCATTAACTAACACCCCAGTTTCAGTTTTTAGTGTACCTACACTTTCATTTTGTTTTTTTTTAGAATTTATGTACTTAAAAAATGCTTTGGGGTTGGTTTTGCTCTCTTTAGCTATCATTATTTCATTTTGAAGTTTAGCAAGTCTAATTGCCTTTTTGCACGCATTATTTGCTTCCTTATATCTTTAATAAGATGCATCCGATTTGTCTGATTTAAATGCTTTAAATGCCCTTCTCTTAGTTGTAATCTCTTGTTTTACTTCTCTACTAAGCCACATTGGTTTTAATTTGTTTCTTTTATATTTATTTCCCAACGGTACATACTGAGAAATGTACCTTTTTAATATTTGTTGGAAGATGATCCATTTATCCACAGTGTGCTTTTCACTAAAGAGTTTATGCCAGTCAATATATTGTAAAGCTTCCCTTAACTTATTGAAATTGGCCATTTTAAAATTATATGTTTTAGTATTCCCCATGTGCTTTTGTTTTTTTGAGTTTATTTCAAAGGGCTCTATATTGTGATCACTATTTCCCAAGTGCTCACCTACTTGAATGTTGGTCAAAAGATCAACGTTGTTTGTTAAAACCAGGTCCAGACAAGCATCCATTCTAGTTGGTACTTGTACAAGTTGTGATATGAAGGTATCATTTAACAAGTTTAAAAACCTAATTCCTTTTGCTGAGGTATTAGTCCCTCTGTCCCAATTTATATCCGGGTAATTAAAATCTCCAATACTTAAAGTGTTACCCAGATTTGCAGCTTTCTCAATTTGCTCAAACAGCTGTTGTTCCTCGTCCAATATTAACATTAGGTGGTTTATAACATATCCCAACCAATAGTTGGTTTCCCTTCTTTTCCCCCAAGCAGATATTTACCCATAAAGCTTCCACATTATCCTCCTCGCATTCCATTTGCTTAACATTTGGCTTTAAATCATGGTTGACATACAAACATACCCCACCACCCTTCTTGTTTTTCCTATCCTTCCTAAATAACATGTACCCATTTAAGTTAGCTGCCCAGTCATGTGTCTCATCCCACCATGTTTCAGTTATGCCTATTATATCATATTGTTTAGTGTATGCTAATGCCTCTAGTTCCCCCATTTTGTTATTTAGGCTTCTTGCATTAGTAAGCATACATTTAATATTATGCGTCACTTGTATATTTTGTGAATTTTCAACATTACACAGCTTCTCTGTTCTGAGCTTGCCCCTCCCCCCGTCTCCACCCCCCTTATACTGTGCTAAAGCCCATCTCCTTTCTGTCCTATCTCCATTTTGTAGATTGCTATGACCCTCCCCCCCACTACTAGTTTAAAATCTCCTCCAACCTTCTAGCCATCCTATCCCCCAGCACTGCAGACCCTCTCCCGTTTAGGTGCAATCCATCACCACTATAAAGGTTGTACCCAATCGCAAAGTCGGCCCAGTGCTCTAAAAACCCAAAACCCTCCTTCCTGCACCAAGACTTAAGCCACGCATTGACCTCTCTAATCTCCCGCTGCCTTTCCACTGTAGCGCGTGGCACAGGTAATATCTCAGAGAATACCACCTTGGAGGTCCTTTTCTTAAGTTTGCTACCTAATTCCCTGAAATCATTCTTTAGGACCTTCCATCTTCCTCTTACTTTGTCATTGGTACCAACATGGACCATGGCCGCTGGGTCATCCCCAGCCCCTCCCAATAATTCATTCACTCTGTCAGCAACATGCCGGACCCGAGCACCCGGGAGACAGCAAACTGTCCGGTTGAGCCGATCAGAGCAGCAGATTGCCCTATCTGCTCTCCTAATGATAGAGTCCCCTACCACCACAGCCTGCATAGGCGTGCGCAGCCTATTGCATTAGGGTGTGCACCCTAAAGCACAAACACCCGCCGTGTGTGTGTGTGTGTGTGTGTGTGTATATATGTATCTATATATATATATGTATATATATATATACATATATATATATATAGATACATACACACACACACACAAACACATACACTGCTGTGTGTGCTGTTAGTGTGATGTGTGTGTGAGGGTGCTGTTAGTGTGATGTGAGGGTATTTTTGTGTGTGTGTGTGTGTGTGTGTGTTTGTGACTGTGCTGTTTGTGTGTGAGGGTGTTTGTGTGTGTATGTTTGTCCTGTGAGGGTGCTGTTTGTGTGAGTGTCGTGTATTTGTGAGGGTGCTGTTTGTGTGTGTGTTTGTGAGGGTGCTGTTAGTGTGCTGTGTGTGAGGGTGTTGTGTTTTTTTTAAAGGTGCTGTGTGTGTTTGTGAGGGTGCGGTTAGTGTACTGTGTGTGTGTGAGCTGTATGTGTGTAGGTGCTGTATGTGTGTGTGCTGTATGTTTGGAGGGATTTGGCAGATTAGTAAATCCTTGCTGCCATGTGCCATCCCTGGTGGTCCAGTGGAGAGTGAACTCTAGCCTGTGGGGCTAGAGTTAACTCTCGCGAGATCTGGCGGAGCTTCTGTCTAGAGCTCCCTGGGTCCTCTCCTGCCTCCCTCCATGCTGCTGTGGGCCGGTGAGGTAGATCTTTGGTCTCCCCGCCGGCCCATGGAGGCTTAGAGCAGAGCCGGCACTCAGATAGTGCCGGCTCTGTGTGTGTGTGTGTGTGTGTGTGTGTGTATATATATATATATATATTTATATATATATATATATATATATATATGCGTACACACACACACTCACAGACACACACACATTCACACACTCACACACACACAGACAGACACACTCACACACAGACACACAAAGACACACTCACACACACACACACACACACATTCACAGACACACATTCACAGACACACACACACACACAAACACACACTCACAGACACACACACTCACACACAGACACACCACAGACACACACACAGAGACACACCCACACACATCTCACAGACACACACACCTCACACACAAACACACAGACACACACACCACACAGACATACTCACACACACACACCCACAGACACACAAACACACACCACAGACACACACACACCTCACAGACACACACACACACACACACAGACACCACAGACACACCCACACACAGACACACCCACACACAGACACAAAACACAGACACAAACACACACCCACAGACACACACAGACACACCACACAGACACACAAAGACACCCACACACACACACACATCCACAGACACACATCCACAGACACACACACACAAACCATCAACTCACAGACACACACCACACACAGACACACCCACAGACACACACACACAGACACACCCACATTCACAGACACACACCACACACAAACACACAGACACCATACACAGACACACCACACACAGACACACCTCCACAGACACACAAACACACCACAGACACACACACACCACAGACACACACACACCACAGACACACACACACACACACACACACACACACACAGACACTCACAGACACACACTCACACACAGACACACACACACACACAGACACAAAAACACACAGACACACAAACACACACTCACAGACACACACACACAGACACACAAACACACAGACACACACTCACACACACAAGAACAAATTATTATATTTTAATAAAAAACAATATCCACCCAGCCTCCTACCTGGAGTGCTGGTGGACTTGTCCCTGGGGTCCAGTGGGGCGGGCGCCTCTCTCCAGCTGAGCGGCGAGGGAGCTCTCTGCTGTCTGCTCTCATCTCCTTCTCGCCGCGCGGGCTGTCCGCTGTAGCTGGGAGCCGGAATATGACGCTCAGCTGGAGGGGGGGGGGGAATCCATCACCTCTTGCCCCCCCCATGACAGGGGCAAGAGGTGAGTGGGGCGCTGAGTGCCTGCAGGAACAGCGTTCCTGCTCAAAAAAAGTAACGCTGTTCCTGCAGGA